CCCCCCCGCCCCCCCCACTGAGCCCCAACGTGTGTTTCCCAGGGCGTGAGACAGAGCGCCGCGTCTGTGCGCGGATGACAGGCCCCGGAGCGGAGACTCGCCCCTCCTGAGTGAAATCACGGGTCAGCGACCTGAAAACAAAGACAAACAACTCGTGTGTTTCGTGTGCGTGTTTGTTTGCGAAGGACAAAGACTCTGTGTGTGAAAGCGAGGGAGAGGTGGCGTGGATGCAAGCGGCTCTGCGTGTGTGTGTGCGTGTGGGAACGAGGGGAGCCGCAGTGTGTGACCGTGTGTGGAAGCGTCACGCGGGCCCCGTGACCTGGAGGCCGCTCAGCGCCTTTTCCCGTGACTCCTCAGCCCCTTCCTCTTAGTTATCAGGGGTAAATCAGGGCCCCCCACCCCCCATGGAAGCGTTCCTGTAGGTGGCCCTCTCTCGCTCTTTCATGAGGTCCAGGTCCAGGTGGGGAGTAGGCGTCGTGCCCTAACTGCCCCTCTCCCCCACGTCCAAGTTCCAGACTAAGGTCCCTATCCCCTCACCGCAACCCCCCCCCCTCCCCCTGCCAGCCCCCAGCACTGTTTTGCTAACTGTTCCTCAGTGACGGACGCTGCCAGAAAAGGAGACAGTTCTAATTAAAGTGTTCCGGGAGCCTCTGTTTCCACGGGGACCCCCCCCCGGCAGAGAGCTGGCCCCCCTGCGCCTATGAAAGAAACACCTGCCAGGCCCCGTGGGGGAACCGAGGAGCGGGGAGGGTGAGCGCGGGGGGAGGTGGAGAATGGCGTAAAACATGGCTTATCTATTACGCATTCACCAAGTTAACAAGACTAATATTCCTACTGCTTTGTTAACATGCAACTGTGTCGATACTCTGATATCCTGCATTGTCGGGGTAGGGGGAGGGCTCTGAGGGTCCCCCCCCCCGCACTGTGTAGTCCAGCGGCTCAGACCCAAGCTCACACTGGCGCCCTGCCGGTCCAGTCCAATGGGTATAATTCCTCCTTTCCTAGCAACACTGGGTCTCCCTCAATATGTGAGGCATTAAACAGCAAACAGTATTGCTCTTACCGTAATTAGCCTAATAAACACACCACTAATAATGCAGAATCGGCAGGATTTGCCGGGACACAGTAGGCAAGGGCGTTATGTCCAGGCCAGAATAGAGGAGCCTGGATTTCATTTAATGGGATGTAAGGGTGCTGATGAAAACCCATTTCCTGTGATACCACTTCCTGTAAAACAGTGCCATGGAAACTGGGCCGGAACAGTTCGGGAATGTGAGAGATCCGAGTTCCTGTCCGCCTGAAAGGCCCGCAGGACAGATCCTCACTCAGGCCTCACTGGTGGACACGTGTTGATCCGACACGACCGCAGGATTTCGCTGTCCGGCGTGCCAAGAACAGGGAGTGTCACCCCCTCCCCCATCTGAAATCGGCCTATTAGTGTGGAAAATTGTACTCCACCCCCCCCAGTCATTTTAGCGCGGTAATCCTCGTTGCATTTCATCGTACATGGACTAACATCAGAAACTGCATGGCGTCCAGCTTGTCCACCCCCCCGTCCGCACGTACACGTGAACCCTGACTGCACCGGCCCAGTTCCTCTTTCCGCCCCCCTCCATGCGGATTTTTTGGCAGTTTTATTCATGTCACGTGACCGACCGGGGCACCTGGCTTTCTCCCGCGGCAAAAGGTTGTATGGAGGTGTCACAGTTGAGTGGAAAAAAAAAGCCATAAATAAAGTATACATTGTGACAGAAAAGGGGAATTGGCCGAAACAGAGAACCGAAAACATCTTTATTTATCAAACACTCACCAAAAAACACTCATATTGTCATTATGCAAATGAGACTTATGAGTAAAATAGAAACTGCATTCAACACTTTTGTCTGAAAAATCTGCAAAGCATGAAAACCGGCAGCTATTTTTATTCAAATAAGGGGAAATAAATATTTTTAATCTGCTTTTAAACAGTGCAGTTCTTTTCCAGTTGCTCTGTGGAGTTTTGCTGGCAGTAAGTCTGGGTGATGTATGGGTCGCCCCTGCATTTGTGGCCTGGGAGACCCCGTGTTGGGCCACATGGTTCCTCCGGCCCTGCTGGACCATGTGCAGATGTCAGAGAGAAAACACCCCTCACTTCTGGAAACTACAGGCCCTCTGAGAAACAGCTTGCTCAGAGAGAGAGAGAGAGAGAGAGAGATCAGTTAACTTAACCCAGTTAACCAGGAAGTATAGCCTGGCTGTAAATTGGACGATTTTTAAACAATATCTGAATTTCCCAGCAAAATCTGGCAAATAACTGGACACTAATAAGATCTTGCTTACTGACATGTGGTGTCCAGTTAAGGTTATAATTATTAGTCCCCTGTCCAAAATTGAACAAAACCATTAATTTTTCAAAGAAAATGACTGGTATTTAAAGTGTTTATGAGAATTGCTTCCAAAAGCAAAAGACACAATTTCCAAGTTTGATAAAAAAACGTTTTACTGATGCTAATTGAAACAAGAAAAACACAAAAATAGCATGGCCAAAATTATTAGCCTTCTGTCAATTAATAGTCAATGTAGCCCTTCTGACTCAACTTATAACAACCTTCTCCTGTAGTTTCTCACAAGGTTTGCATAAATCTCCGGAGGGGTCTTAGATCATACCTCCATTGCAAATTGTTCCAGCTCATGCAAATTAGATGGTTTTCGAGCGTGGACCTTAAACTCGCGCTGTTGCCAACGGTTCTCAGTAGGATTGAGATCTGGGCTTCCGGCGGGTCACTCCAAGACCTTGATTCTATTGTTCCTCAAAAAGTTCTGGACCAACTGTGATGTGGATTTGGGTCATTATCTTGCTGAAAGACCCAGTGACGACCCAAAGCCAGACTGGCAGCAGATTCCTTAAAACCATCCGTTAAAATGTCAGCGTAATCCTCTTTCTTATGCCATGTACCCAAACAAACAGCCCCACAGCATTATGCTCCTACCAGCTGTAGGAAGTGTGTTTTTAGGGTGGAAGGCCTCTCCTTTCCTTCACTGTATCCATGTGCCCAGACAGCTCTAGTTTTGTCAGAGCAAAGGACAGACTTCCAAAATTCATCCACATGTTTCGGAAAATCCAGGGCAAACTTCAGTCTAGCTTTAATACGCTGCTGTATGAGCAGTGAAGTTTTCCTTGGCCAATGATCTCAAAGCTTCCCACCATGAAGAGCCCTAACCCAACAGTTTTTTTTGAGACTTCAAGTCCAGAAAAGGCCAGTTCAGTGACAGTGGCCTTTGCAGTGATCCAGGGGTTCTTGTTGGCATCTCCGATTATTTTCCTCTCCAAAGTCTTTGAAATCTTGCACTTGCAATCGTGCCCAGCTTTCTTTCTGACAGAGTGGGTCACTTCGCATTTTGCAGTGTACCCACCCCCCTTAAGATGCGCATCTGCTGTCTTTTCCCTGAGGTCCACACTTATTTGTTTGGTTTTTGGCACGATGAAATTACTTTTCACAGAGAAGATAAGCATGATACCTCTCGATCTTGCCTTTACGTGCCACTAGCTCTGCTCCTTTCAGTCCATTTATTAGAATGTGGTGCTAATTGAGCTCATCACCTCACATGGGGTTCCAGTTGGACACCTGAACATCTAACTTTACTGCAGTACTTCCTGACAGATTCACATGGGGCTGAAAATTTTGACCACCCCAATTTTTAATAAAGTTACATATACAGCAATATAGAAACTGTTTGTTAAATAAAACTGTACCATTTGGAGGTTTTTACATTAATGATTTTTTTACTTTTCAAAGTTTGATAAATGAAAAAAAATTTGACATAAATATAGGAAAATGTCCCATTTCTCATAAGGGGCTAATTATTATGACCTTAACTATAAGATACGGGACTCCTTTAAAAAGTTCAGTGATTAAAGTCGTTAGAACTTTAATGGCACATGGTGTCAGGAAGCCAGTCTGGTACCTTCCCCTTTAAATGCAAATGGGAACGGAATCCAATGGGAGAGGATGAGGAAGTGACACGCTGGCAGTGGGTCATGTGTGCTCCATGTGAGCCTCACACTGGTTGATCCAGTGCTATTTTCGTAGCCGTACGACTCGGGCTGTTGACACAGCCGTGCTGCTGTTACATCGTCGCTGATGTAACTGGTGGCAGTGTCATGATTTCCTACAGTTATTCTTTGTAATCGTGCCCTATTATTCTGCTTCATCCTTCATATTTATTAGTGTTATACAAAATCGGCGTAAAAAAAGATCTAAGCAGTTAAAGTGGAGGGATGTGGATGGAGACATGAAGGGAGGGGGCGTGAAGGGATGGAGGGAAGGAATAGAAGTGGAATAAAGGGTGAGAGAGTGATGGTGATGGAGAGAGCGGGAGAATCAGAGAGCCCCCCCCCACTGCCGGCACACAATGCCTGTTACATAAGTGACCGGTCCTTAACAACACATGGAAAGCCCCCCCCCCCCTTGGGCCCAGCAGGGGCCGGCTAATGGGAGGCTATTTGAGGAAGGACACAGCTTAGCAGATGGGTGCGGAGAAAGGCCCACCTGCAGCAGGACGGCTCACGCCACCACGCCCAGCCCGCCACTGGCCTCACCCCCTCCCACTTGCATGAAAGAGCAGGGGGGGGAGAAGGAAGTGCAGAGGGGGGGATCAGTGGGGGGGGGGGGCGGCATCCGTCTCCCAGACAGCACCCATTTCAGCCTGTCTGCCAGAAGGGAGTCATTTGTGAGGGGCTGAGGCGCCGGGGGGGGGCACACTGCCTCTATGGGCGGGGGTGCGGGTTTCTTGTAGGCGAATGGGGATGCGTGTGGGGTCCAGGCTGCCCCGGCTGCGGGGGGGGGCCCGGTGTCGCCGAGTCCTGCGCTAGCTTCAGTGAAACCGGGGTCTGGCTCACGGGTGCAAACGCGGGTTACTGCCTTCGCGGGGGGGGCCACCGGTGGCCGCGGTGCATTAATTACGAGCCACCCAAGCACCCCTCCAGGGCCTCGCATGACGGCAGCCTCTGCCGGGCCAGTCGACACACAGCCGCCGTCCCAGTCACCCCAGTGCCGCCCCCCCTCGCAGCACTCACCAGAGCATCCAGCTCAAATTAATTATCAGTTATATCGCCGTGAGCTCCCTCTACAACAGTAGGTCACCGATGTTCCCGTTAATTGCTGCAGCATATGGTTTTGAACAGATTTTAGCTGTGGGACCCATACTTTACCGTGGTAATTCTTTTTTTCCCTGCTCAGTCAGATGTTAGCCATATTGGTGATGCTGGCACCCATTGTTCCACTCATTTACTTCATAGAGCTAATTACTCCCTAATAATAACTTTACCTTGGAGTTTTTTCGCACCGGTGCCAGCAAACCTGTTCACACTACATATGTTAATTATCGGCACATCTTCATTATGTTCAAAAAGCTTTAAGTTCAAGCTGTGCAGCCTGGCGCCCGCCGCCCGCCGCCTTCTCTGCCAACTTTCCACTTCTCCTCCGTTTATTTCTTTCAAGACTTATTTATTTTTTTCTTCTGTGTTTCTTTTTTTTCCTTGCAAACGAAAGAGTCGCGAAATGAAAGTTTCGCTCCCGCGGTTCCCATTGGCTGAGGGGTGTTCTCCTGCTTTCCACTGGGGGGGGGGGGTCCGGGGGCCTGTCTGGTTGCCCCAGCTTTTTCTCTCTGCCCCTGTCCTCTCCCCATGGTATCACCTGTGCTGTTACGTCAGATGTCCATGTGTGACTTTGGGCTTGTCCCTGGGGGGCACTGGAGCAGCCCCCTCCAGGGACGCCCACCCTAAACACAGTGGTATGGATGGGTGAGCCACTAAACAGCGTGCCGGCAATGTGGAGGGCATCTGTCTGCCTGCGGATGGCGCTGTGTGACAGGGGCCCCTGTGCACGCTCTCTGTTCCTCGGACCCCCCCGAGTGCTTGCGGAGTTTCATGGGGGTGGCTGTGTTCAAGGCGGAAACGTGGGGCTGCTTTTTAACTCTGCTGCCCCCCCCTCCAGTCTCTGTGACCTTGGAGAGAAAGATGCAGCCAATCGGCAGCCTGCATGCGGTGCCGGGCTGGGGGGGCTATTCACAGGGAACAAAACAACTGAATGTGTGTGTTTCTGTGCAATTATTACGTTGTGAGGACCGGATTTCCCCAAAATGTGACAAGAACGTCTAACTTTTTACCCTGTGGGGACATTTTTTCAGTCCTCACAAGGATAACCTGACTTTTACAGAAATCTGTGAATGCAATCAAAAAACTAAAAATGCCAAAATTTGTATTTTGTTTGGTTACTTTGGTGAAGGTTAGGGCTGGGTAGGAGTTAAGGTTGTCATTGTGTGTGTGTGTGTGTGTGTGTGTGTGTGTGATGTTCATTTTCAGCAAACAATAATTGGCACTTAGAACGGGTGCCTGTGCATTTAGCATAAAAATAATTTCAGAGAAGAATAAGGATGGAATGAGGGGCTGCAGGGCTGCAGGAGGGTGTGGATTCAGGACGCCCCCCACCCCCCTGCCCCCCCCTACCAGCAGCCGTGTGCCGGTGTGTCCTGCGGGGCACCAGATTCAGGTCAGATATTGCTGAATGGGTGTCTCCTTCGCCTCTGTCTCTGACATTTCCCTAATGAGCCCTCAGCCCCCTGTAGACCCCCCCCCCTCCACGCCCCCGGCTCTCCTTCTTACTCGTGAACTTTAATCCCGCTTCCTGGATGTGGTCGCTGCTTTGAAGTGCTGCTGTTTTGCCATCCTTCGGCCCGGCTGTCATTTCCTCCGTCTAATTACCGAGGAGAGCTCCAGTGGGGAGGGGGGCGGGGGGGCATTCAATGGGGGGGTTTGTTGGGTGTGTTTGTCATATGTTCCCAATTATGACCTGGTGTGTCGGCGGGTCCGGAGGGCAGGGCCGTGATCGCCAGCTTCCGGGTGCCCATGCGCGTGTGCCCATGCGCGTGTGCCATGCGCCTTCGCTTGTTTGTATGCACATTCACATCCGTGTGCATGTGGCACAGAAGGAGGGGGGGCAGGCTGGAAGTGGATGCCCAGCTGTTGGTGGGGATTAGCCCTGTTTAATGGAGCTCGCAGATGGAGGAGGTACTGGCGTCCGGAGTATTCGAGGGCAGAGGCTAAATGTGAGGGATGAGCCAGCAGGGCCTAAAATGGGGGGGGGGGGACGAAGTCTATGCTCCCATTAAAGCCCACTGTGGAGCGTACCAATGCCTGTGTTTGGGGGGGGGGTGTTGGGGTCTGTTCCACTCAACTCCATTGGATTCCCTGATTCGTTAATGTCTCGGTCTCCAGGGGAATAGCCTGTGCGACGGCCAATGGTGTTGCTGAACAGGGGCCCGTCCCCAGCACACCTAATTGCGCCGGGCGGCATTTGTGGGCGTTGTGTTAAAGGGGACACCTGGAAGATGGACCTGGCCAGCTGTAGGTAAACAGGAAGGAGGAGTGTGTGTGAGGGGGTGCAGGCGGCCCACTCTCTGAGAGTGAGGAGAGCTACAGGTTTGCATCCCCCCCCCATGGCGTGTCCGTGTTGGGAGAGGCAGATACACACAGATCCGCTGCCCGGCCTGGAGGCCCACAGTACAGCATATGTCTGATTAATGCTGTCGGGGAGGGGGGGGAGTAGGGCCTGTGATTACGCCCCACGGGGGGCCTGTTTAAGTAAAACAATAAACCGCCGCTACCTTCTGATCACCGCATGGCCAATATGGCAGTTACGGTTAACCAGAACTGCCTGGTAATTACGGCGTGGTCGAGGCCATGGCGGTGGAATGCCGCTTTTCCCCCGCGTGTGTCGGTCATGTGACCGCAAGGCTGTCTGGACAACGGGGAGGGGGACCCCTGGGGTCATTAGCGATCCTCCCGGCAGAGTGAGCGTGCAGCCACAAAGAACATGGGGCTCAATAGCGCCTCCTGGAGGACGCCGGTAAAGAATTTTTGAGGCTCTGGGTCCAAGCGTTTCTTGCAAGATCCTGCTTGTGGCCGCAGTTGCACCATTTCCGTCTGCAGTGTAATCGTGCCCCAGCCCCCGCAACCGATGCCGCCGTCTCGACTTCACATCCAACCCGAAATTCTTCCCCATCCGGCACCTTCCTTTGGCTACATGGAATTTACACCTAGAAAAAAATCAATTTTTGCATTTGCCACCGTCCTTGAATTTACATATACGATGAAACGGTTCCTCCCTGTTCATCTTCCATACTCCAGCTCCAAAGCGGCACCTTCCGCAACCATTATTTTCACCATCTATCCCAGATATTCATCCCAGATAATCTTCCCCTTTTCCCCACTTGCCGATACCACTGCCCCAGGATGGTTCCTCACTTCTCGCCGCCGCTGCCGATTCATACTGACGCTCACCGGCGCCGCCCTTCTGTCTTTTTTTGGCAGCGCGTTGCTCTGCGGAACCATCTGTCTGCTGCCTCTCTGTGTCTGTGGGTCAGAGTCACTGGGTTTTTTAATCCTGGAAACCTTGTGAAGTCTCGTGGCTCCTTGCCGACCAGGACCCTTTCCACCAAGCGACGGCCAGCTGTTGGGGGAGCGTGGAGTGGGTCTGTGCGATGGCCCCTTCGTCCCGCTAATTTGGGGGGCGGGCAGTCCACGGT